GTGCTCGCTTGCACCGCCATTTGAAGGTCATAAAAGCTGATGGGATAAACGAAGCAAATTGTCTTTATACATTTGGCCCTTAACCGATACACAAATTTGGGAGGCTGAAGCGGGAGGCTTCGAGGTACGTGCCGGCCTAAGTTACTCATAGCTAAACCTATCGCCTTCCCCCACTAGGAAAAATGTGTTCTGCTCCCTTTTTACACATGCCAGAATTCGTAACTTCTTACCTCAACTGTTCATGATCTGTGGTCTCTTTCTAGTGGTCATATCGTTGACGTGGTCCTCAAAAGTTACAAATAACGCTTATTTGTTCGCAGGAAATGCATTCAGCAAAGACTGCTAAACCCTGTCTTATCCACATCACTGCAGAAGTGCATTGTCCTTGTCACGCAGAGTAAAGCCAGGTTTATATTAAACCATTGGACCAGATTTGGCCCTTTGAAGGTCATACGACACACAGCTTTACACGCGCTCGGGTGCCCGGTTGAATGGGCCGCGCTCGGGTGGGGGTGGAGTTGGGGTAGGTGGGTGGGGGTAATTTGACATTTCCTGAGATCTCAACAATGAAGAGAGCTCAAGACACCATTTTCGTAGGGGGAAGCATCCCCTACCTGCACCTGCCCTGGAGCCCTACCTGTAAAGTTTTATGTGAACTATCTTGTGTCAAGTTTTGACGTCGCTAGGTTGTGACCTTAACATTAAATAAGATTAAAACCTAGACAGGTGTTTAAAGCGCCGTAAGACATCCTAACATAACCAGTTTTACCCGGACGCCTAACACAAGCAAAAGTTTACCGGTGATTGCGTCACGTCAGTGACCATATTTAATCTTAAAAGGTGGCTATGGCCAAAACAGCCTCAAGGTTACTGGAATATTTTCAATCACAAAAGGCGCGAAGTACTTCCTTCGGCGGTTCGTTCCTGAAAACAGCGTTAAGAAAATCATTTAGGTGAGTGACCTCCTCTGACCTTCATGATATCAAGCTAAGACATCTTTTGACGTCCTTGTGATTCCCGAATTCGAAATGAACGTCAAAGTTTACTCGAAAGGCAGGTTTTCCAGCATAAAGGTGGCTGGTTTTGACCCTGGTCTAACAATCATACCTGAATCAAGGCAAATGCAATTAATCGCATTCCTAGTCTCACTTACCTCGTTGTCTAAGAAACTATCTCAAGCTTGTATGGCTTTGTCTGACACTCCGGTTTTAAGTCATACTGAATCCAACACCTCGTTCTTGCATGACACGAACTGTTTACTTGGGAACTACCTCCGCTGACAGTCGTGGCCTGACTTTGACCATAAAAACCAGCGATCCAGGTCAGCGATCTTACGAGGTACATCTGCCTTTGTGATCGGCTGCTCAACTGTGTACAGTTAAAAAAAGCTCAGCTTGACCACGCCGCGCGGTTTAGAAGTTATTCTGAAAAACTTTCGGACATCAAATTGTCTCCAACCGATCGCGTGTTAATGGCAACAATCTTACGACTTTGGAAGTTCTCCCTAATGGTTGTCTCCTCTTGCACTAGACATTGATACAATATTATGGTTGTTTTTATCTGTCAAAGTACTCAGTAGCCCATTTTCACGCAAACTTCAAATGGTACCTTATTTGTTCCCGCTGCATTACAAGGTACCCAATTCTGAGAGCCATGCAACATAAGATTCACGGAGGTGAAGCCCATCGTTTTTCTTGACGCTTACCCAAATACCCGGTTAACTTTGTCCTGGAAGCCTTTTCGTTTCAACATACATCAATCCACCATTTTACGCTTGCATATTTGGTGTTATGGGGTCTTACCATAAGTACCGCGCACTTAGGATAACGGATAGGTACATAACGAGAAAAAAAAACAAGACCCCTCCGTAGTGAAAAGTTGTGACTATTCTGATAGCCCAGGCGATAAGCCATGGCTCCTGCTTATTCTATTTTCGATCATTTCAGGTTTGGCACCCAATTATGTCCTCATTTGATTATGTATGGGTGAAAAGTGTGGTTTAGCTCTAAATATATATATATATATATATATATATATAATATATATATATATATATATATATATCTGTGTATGTATGTATATGTCAGTGCATTTTACTGCACCTTTCACGAGGTCAACGAGGGAAACAATCCACATCGATGGACAACAGCCTGCCTGTGCGAAACTGTGCAGAACCGCGTGACAATTGTTCAAGGTTAAGGTGATGGCCGCTTCTCATGATTACCGTTGTCAAGAATTGGTACCGTTTCTTCACCGTGCCTCTTGGTTATCTAGTTTTCGGGGCATTACGCAGGCCTCTGATTCCCCTCAACGGTAAAAAACCTAGCATATGGCGATGGTGAATCAAAGACAAAACATTTTACCCTGTTTTGCAACCATCATTGGTGATAACACTGTGAGTTGTAGGATTGTTAGGCACATCGCTAGAATTTGCTCAAGAGGATGGGGCGGAGGGGGGGGGAGGGGGGGGGGGCACTTGTCAAATTCTCTCCGAGCTCCAACAAATTTGCACCGAATGACTGCTTAATCACTCAACATCTAGTGCTGGCCTCTTGGATCAAGGGACATGGCCCTCGTACCCATTGTCTATGCCCCTGAAGATAATTGCTTTATATGACGACTTTGTGATAAAAATTGATGCCAAATCAAATTTTCGTCACCATTACACTACCATAATGAAATCATGTCAAAGTCTGCAAGGTTTGTTGAAAACCCTCGTGGATTGAACTTTGATTGTCCCGGCCGGGGCCATCGATCGGGGCTTGCTTAGAGCCCGGACACATGCGTATACCTTTTCTACTACACGGTTTTGAACTGTTGCGGCCACGTGACCCTAAGTTAACACTGCGGTTAAAAGTTACACTGACAGTTACACAACCTGTTCCCCACACATTTCATGCAAATATCTACTGGCGCTACAACTGCTACAATGCATTTCATTCTGTTCGTCCTTTCCATCGTTCCCGTTAAAAGCCAGGAATCAGGAATAACGGAGGCGTACGTTCATTGGGACGTCCGGATAAAAAGTTGACTGGAGAGACATCGAACGACAAAATGTCGATAGAGATAAAAGTAGACAGGGATGAAAGTCGAATCAGAAAACGCCGAACGAGAAAAAACTGACAGAGATAATAGTGGAATCGGAAAGCGTCAAAAGACAAAGAGTGGACAGGAAACTAAAAAAACCGAACTGGAAAAGTCGACTTAGAACTGGTTAAAATGAAAAAGACCAAGTCCTAGTCGAATCCAAAAAAAAGGCAAGGGTAGACAGGAATTAAAGTCGACAGGGATAATAAAAAGTGTAAAGACAAAAGCCCAAAAGGGACAAAAGCCTTCAAGAGGTTCCAATGCACCAATGAGTGTTCATGAGGATACACCCATTATCGCAAGCACAGCTTGAAGGTATTGACACTAAGTGTTGGCAAGACAATCCACTTTTGTTCTGCCATGTCGTTTCACCGTACCTACTGGTATAATGAGCGCTGATAACTCGGCATAGGAAATGAGGACTCACAACGCCAAACACAGTGGTGTAGTTTTCTCTTAAGTTGGGAAGGTGGGGGACTGCAGACCGCCCCTCAATAACCAGAGCAAACCAAAGCTTAAGACTTCCCTTACTGATATCAAGCACCATAATTTTGCTTCTGGAACGGATCCACACAATATGGGTGCTTTAGGGTTGTATAATGCACATGCAGGTTCACTGCTAACACAGCAGTCGTGCAGCAGACACCACCCTGTCACCTGCGGCCGCCCTGCATATACCGCGCCCCCTTCCCTCTCCCTGACGTAAAACACCGCGGATACTGGAACCGCGCCGTTGCGCATCCGACGAGAGCTAGGTGATGTCGATACAGTTGAGACCTTTCTTTCAGCGCCGTATGTAGGACCCTAGAGCCGTTTCCCCGAAGGCCACCTTGAAATGTGTCTGGCTCCACCTCTACCCGGCTGATATCACCATGTTTCGTCCAGTCCCGTCCGATCTAATTCTGTTCCGACGATTCTGTCCTGTTTTGTCTGGTTCTGTCTGCACCCGATTGGTCTCGTTCTGTCCCGTCCGGTTCCTTTCGACCACGTCCGATGCCGTCTGGTTACGTGCGGTCACGCGTGGTAACGTCTGGTGCCGTCCGGCTCGATCCTGTCCCGTCCTAGCTGGTCTCGTCCGTTTCTATTCGATCTGGTCCTATCTCGCCTGTTCTCGTCCGGTTCCTTCCGGCGTGATCTGGTCCCGCATGACCCTGTCCGTTCCCGTCCCGTTCCATGGAGTCTCACTCAGTCCCATCCAACACATCTGCCTCGCTCCGGGGCCACACACTTATCCACCATTCACATCAGGCGTCAAGTCCTGATGATCTCTGTTTATATAATTTTGATTGCTAGTGTTTTACATATCTGAGTTGACCTCTATCCCCTGCGATGTTCAGTGTTAGACTTATTTAATTTCTTCTTTTATAGCTGTCGATTTTTTATGTCTCTCTATGCGAATGTTGTCTCCATCAACTTTTGTTCATTTCAACATTTTGTCCTTCGACTTTCTTCCGATTCGACTTTATTCCCGTCAGCTTTTACGCCTTTCGATTTTTGTCGCCATACATCCGGGAGCCGGTTATAGGTGCTATGATAGTGGCGGCTACGCCCCGTCAGGGGATTGATCGTCATTGTCAGGAATCCTGCGGGATTTCCGGGACTGATTACCCACTTTTAGCCATTGCAGAGCCATTGTAATGGATGGCTGGACACATGCCATGCAGTCAGCAAAAGAGCCGCCGTGTGCTGGCATAAATTGCAGTACCGAAGGCCACATCTGGCCCGTTCGCCAGCGGACGCTGCCGCACAATGCCGGCGTCGGAAATGTCACAGTGGCCCCGAGCTCGGCCCAGACCGGACGTGACCGGATAGGCCCCCACCCCGCATACCGTCAGTGTCCGAACCGCACTCTTATCTCAGCCAGAGGGCCGCCGCTGCGCTGTCTGCAGTTCACACAAGCCCCAAAGGTCACGCCGACGGCTGGCGCAGACGGTGGCAGCGGTCAGGGATGTGTCCATGGGTGTTACCGGGGCGAAGGTCGGCATCATCATATTCGTGAACATGGCACGGAGGGCATAGTGACGCCACGAACACATCGCAATATCCACGTAAGTATTTGCGGGATACGACACCCATGCATGTGGAGCTTCCCTTCGCTGAGATGTGCTCGACATGCTCGATCGATAGTGTGTGTAGAGTGACGATCGCTAGTCTAATGTCTAACTACGTGTCCATTTTCCACTGGCATGCTATCGTTGCGTTGAGCGTGTATGCACCAGGTGCAGGCGCACACTCAGATTTTCGTGTGCGGGAGGCAATCTTCGAAAGGGTGCCAGATATTTTCATGGATGTAATTCAAAGTCTTGCATTTGATTTCGTTGACCGGATGTGAGGGAAGTGTGAGTCGCATGTGACGTTGGACGGGGCAGTCTTCGTCCGTCAGATTAGGAAAGGTTTAAACGGCCGACGAAACCTGTTGACAGCCCCATGCTACGACCCTATGTGCATCAACTGACATGAAACTTTCACCATTCGATGCCGCTTGATCAATAAGCCACCTTCCAGAACATGGTGGCATTTGGTCAGGCTAAAGGTCACCAAAAATTCAAATAACCCGTAAAATGAGGTTCCAAACAACACCATGCTCGCAGTCCATGGCGCCAATCATCACCGTTTTAGTGACCTTTGACCTGACCCAAGGTCCCCAAGTTCTGGAAATGATGAAATACCGACTATGGTGCATCGATTGGTGAATTTTTCATGACGATCGGTGCAATAGGCTAGGAGCATGAGGTTGTCTGCAGCCAATTCCACTGTTTGTTGTAATTGTGGTGTCATCACTTTTTTGTAACATTTGACCTAACCCAAGGTCATCATGTTCTGGGAGTGATAGCATATCGACTATGACACATCGATTGGTGAAGGTTTCATGTCGATCGGTGTCATAAGCTCGGAGCTTGGTGTTGTCTGCAAACCTAGTTCTCCTTTTTTTGTGTATTTTTGGTGATCTTTCACCTGGACCAAGGTCACCATGTTGTGGAAATGATAAGTTATCGAACAAGCGGCATCGAATGGTTAATATTTCGTGCCAATCGGTGCCATAGTCTCGGAGCAGCGGGCTGTAAGCAGGTTTGGTCGGCCGTTTAGTTCCTCTCGTTAAAACCTGGTGTCAGTTACCGTCGTTTTTTGTATAGATCCGCGTAGGTTACAAACGAACGTCGACTGGTTAAAGCCATGATGAAATATCCTACTTTCACAGATGATGGCGAGATTTCGCTAAAAACAGATCACTGCACTGAATGATCCAAGTATCTGACACGGCCATGATATAATCCTTGTCAAAACGTCAGTTGGCGGAAATTCAACATTACGGTCACATTTATTGGTGACGTGATGCATCATGACATTTAGCTAATGGATATCAGAGACGGCTTGCTATGACACAAAGCGTGTATACACATCTACTTCAATTGATTTGAATACAATAATTGTTTCTGACTCGGGACATCTACCCGCGTCAGTCGATGTACCGGTATGATATTTCAGGCAAGGACTGTTCAGGATCCAATCCAATTCCATCCAGTTTTTTTTTTGTATTCAAGCCACCCATCTCCCGCGTCTTCAAGAATTGCTCAGTTCTATCCGATTCGGCTCTCTGAAACAAATTATTTTTGAAATACTGCACATTGATGCATCGTAATGCGGCTTGATTCGACTTTCAATGGTAAATAAGGTATGCGCAGGCATCAAATGTATTGATGTCAATATTTATAGCTATTGTATATCATTTCTGCTATCCATTTCATTTGGCAGGCCAATTTCTCGACACTTCTTATGCTTAATCCGACAAGGTCGTGACTTTATCATGGATATCGACGGACTTTATTTTTTTCGAGATCAGTGGCATAACAACTTTTTAAATTCACTTACAAAGCTCACAACTAAACAACATAATTTGGCCCCAACGCACTCCACAGCGCATTGCTACCGACATTTAAGGATGTCACTGATCTCAAAACCACAGTCCATCGAAATTTGTGACAAAATCACAGCATCATGGGACTACGGATAAGAGTTTTCCCTTATTATTTTCGTGTCTCCGAGACGCTCGCTTTAATCATTCTGTTTTGTCAGTGCTCAGTGGGTAACCGGCTTTGTGGTGTGTGTGTGTGTGTGTGTGTGTGTGTGTGTGTGTGTGTGTGTGTGTGTGTGTGTGTGTGTGTGTGTGTGTGTGTGTGTGTGTGTGTGTGTGTGTGTATGTGTGGTGTGTGTGGGTGTGGTTGTGTGGGTGTGGGTGTGGTGTGGGTGTGGGTGTGGGTGTGGGTGTGGGTTGTGTTGGGTGTGGGGTGGGTGTAGGTGTGGGGTGTGTGGGTGTGGGTGGGGGTGTGGGTGTGGGGGTGTTGTGGGTGTGGGTGGTGGGTGTGGGTGTGGGTGTGGGTGTGGGTGTGGGTGTGGGTGGGTGTGGTGTGGGGTGGGTGTTGGGTGTTGTGTGTGGGTGTGGGTGGGGGCGTGGTTCGTGGGTGTGGGGTGTGGTAGGTGGGTGGGTGTTGTGGGTGAAGAATGCGTGAGTGTGGGTGTGGGTGTGGGTGGTGGGTGTGGGTGGTGGTGTAGATGTGTGGGTTTTGGTTGTGGGTGCGGGTGTGGGTGTGGGTGTGGGTGTAGATTATGGGTTGTGGGCTGTGGGTGTGGTGTGTATGTGCCATTGGGAATTGAGCGTTTGGCCCCGTAGCGTGCAGGGCTGGCACTGAATCATGTACACTACACTTGGAATATGACACCTTCCGTTTAGCCCAGTTTCACGGCATATTTTCTGCTGCATCATGAAAGGAGTTGTGGTTTTAGGCGGACCTGTTAAAATTTCAAGTAAAGCTTTTCCACTCTTTCATCTTATCCGCATGAGAAATTTGATGTTCGTATGATGACATTCACCTTCCCATCAAGAGCGTTTTCAAGAACAAGTAAGACGACGTATGTATCATGCTTCTTTTTTAATTGGTCGATGGAGATGTTCCGTGGTTGGGCGTGTCTTGCGAGTTTTGCTAAAATCTTTGTCAAAGTTGCTTCCGTACTTGGGAGGCTCAGACGGTTTCTCTGTACCAGTTTGCAGCAAAAACTGGAGCGAGATTTTGAGCCGGAGGGTAGCTGGAGCTGAAGCAGCAGCACCGCCACAGCAGTCATGCGGACCGCCCTGCTGCTGACGATGCTGGCAATGAGCGGGGCGCAGGAGCGTTCCTGTCGCACGGAGAGTGACGGATTGGTCTGCACAGCGAGTGACAGTCGAGTGCACTACCTGCACAAGAATGCGACGTGGCAGCAGGCGCATGAGACCTGCCGGCGGCGCGGCATGTTCCTCATCACGTCCGAGGTCACCGTCGAGACGGTGTTGCAAGACTTGCACCGTAATGAACTGTATCAGGAAGGCCACTTCTGGGTTGGCGCCAAGTACCTCCGGAATGGATATTATCACTGGGTTTTCCCCTCGCAAGGTAACTATCGATTGAATGGAACCTAGGCGAGATGGTGTATGCTTCACATTCTATAAAACATTTACCTTTATGTGGTATAGCTCATGTCTGGATGGGATACGTCACGCTTGCGCGGTTACATGCATGAGCAACCATGCTTGGGATGAAGTAAAAGCCTTTTTTGTTACAAAAAAAGCTAAGCCAGTTCGTGCTATTCCGCTGTCACGGAAAATCCTGGCTAACAGAGCATCAAAGTATTATAGAAAGGGCGCACGAAGCGTTCTAGGAAACATGTCAGTGCCGCCAAGCATGAAAATTCCTCGGTGAAACTAGCGCACATAGGAAAATCACTCCGCGTTTGTGATTTACGCAGACTATGCGTCGTTCCACTCACGAGTAGGAATGGGCATATAGCCGTAAAACTTCACACACAGAGTGCTCGGCATGCACACGATAACATAGCAGACATTAGACTACACCAATGCGTCTCTCACAACCTCTCCATCCGTGATGTCTGCGGGGGAGTGCTGAATCAGGCAGGCCCATGCACATGTCGTCGCGAGTGTTGCCGCTGCTATGAAGCGTCCCACTTAAGCCACGGTCGTTGCGGGCAAATGTCAGCTGGCAGCGCAGTGTTTTTGCGTCAGCGAAGACTACTCGCGTTAAGATGAACGGCGTGCTCTTCGTGACAGCTGACCAGCAATCCGATACAGCGTCTTTTACCGTTAGCATTCAGGTCGCGTGACGTGATATCTTCTATCTTCTATCTACTAAGATACTTAAGGAACAGTGTGTATGTGTGTGTGTGTGTGTGTGTGTGTGTGTGTGTGTGTGTGTGTGTGTGTGTGTGTGTGTGTGTGTGTGTGTGTGTGTGTGTGTGTGTGTGTGTGTATGTGTGTGTGTGCGTGTGTTTGTATGCGTGTCCGCCACTTTATTGGGATCACCTGCAAGCTAAATGGCAAGGAGTTTTGTAATTAAGTTCTCACACAAGGAAGGCCTGCTGCCAGAGCGCGCCTGAGTTACGCCAAAATTCTGCATTTCGCAGAAATGAGTGCGTGGTGAGCGAAAAAAGGACGCAAAATCCCCATCGGTTTAACACGGGCGGCACCAATTTCGCGACGATCGGAGGCGCGACACACTTCGTTTCCCGGAGTCATATCTCGATAACCAAGGATCGCAGCGACATGACATTTGCACAACCAAGTAGACAATAAAATGAACCATCGGATTGGTATATATTTAATGTACCACATGGTGCACGGCACGTGCACATCTGTTGGAAAGATAGAATTGGCTCTTTTACGGATTACGGATGAGCTATATCTCAGCGGACAGTACAGGCAGACGCGTGAATTTTGTTTTTCAGCATTCACAGTTGGAGCAGCTACACTTTCAGTGCGCATCGCAAGTTTATGCAACACAATGTTGCATTGAAAATTGCAATATAAGTTGCAGACGATCAAGTTTTGAAAGTCGGCACCGAATGCAAGCCGCTACCATCAGAATTGTTCATAATTTAGCATTGAAAAATGAGCCAGCGTGTTGGCCGATTCATTCGCTCTCTTTACCACCCATCTATTGATCATATTTTTGCAGTCATTCGCTTCCAAATGACCTTAAACTAATGAATTGCATGACTGCTTTTTACTCCGCAACGGAACGGCGATGTTCAGTGTTTCAGCAGATGCCGGCGGTTTCTTCAAGGTTAAATGGCCGTCTGATCAAGTGACTGGCTGCCGTAGCTAACTGCATCCGGCCGATTATGCTAGCACGCACCGATATCTCCTCAACTGCGACACGGAGCGACCCGAGAGTGGTACGAAACACGTGCCACGCAAAATGCTACGGTCGCACGTGTCATGTGGCACGCTCTCGAGGATGCACTTTGCTTTCTTCCAAGGGTTTGCACGCTTTGTGCCAATTCGCGGCACCTAGGATACGAACACACTCGGAAGTGGCACGCTTCGAAAAGGAATATTCGATAAGGAATAAGGAAGGATAAGATGGCAATGGCTAGTCACATGTGCCACGCGGCATGGCGCTTACGTGTCGAAACATGAATTCGCTATATTCGACGAGTTTTAACGTTTTTGCGATATTGCGGCACTCAGCGCGCCACGCGACCCAAGAGCGTCCTGGTTCGATAGGGAATTTAACGGGCAATCACATGGTGTAAGATGTGATGTTGCACGTGCACACTAGCTGTGAAGATCCACTTTACTGATTTCGTCGTTTTTCGGTTTTATGCCACACTTCCGCATTCACAGCACGCAGGCACACAGGATTGGTATGCCCCGACGAGAAATTAAATGGCCAGTCATGTGTTTCACGTGTGCGTGCCCACAGACTACGTTCACACCGACAAACTTTGGAAAGATTGAATTTCGTATTTTCACAGGTTTAAAAGTGCTGTGACGCACTGCAGCGTCCAACGCACTCAGCCACTGGCGAGTGGCACGTGTTCATAGGCATTCGAATATAAAATAACGTTAAATGAATTGTCATGTCGCATGTGCTGCGTGTCATGCATGCACGAGCCAGCAAGATAGATTTTGCCGTTACCGACCGTTTTTCACGCATTTCACTCCATATCTCAGCAACCAGGGCACCTAGAATCGTGATTTAAACTGAAAAAGATGCATAGCTAAGTTTTCTACGTGTAAGTTTTCTACGTGTGTGCTTTGATAGTTTTCTACAGAACTCATGCAGGGACAACCCGTGTGACCATTCATACGCTAAACAACATATAGTTAGATTGGTATTTACATCGACTACGTGTTACTTTCTCATACGAAATGCTTCAGTAATTATTGAATTTAACGCCTGGCGGAATAATGTCCTCTAAAAACGCTCCACACGCCGTATCTAGAATATTTTCAGAACTCTGTGGTCCCCATATTTCATTTACAGACATGCGTGTTTGCACGCATTTACCCCTAAAACGATTAGTTATGTCTTCCTCTCACCCTAATGACAATTTTATGATTCCCTTACACCAACCATGACATTCAACGACCTTGAGGGTTTATCACACAATAAGCTTTTTATGCAGTTATTTGCTTCTCCAATTGCTTGCAGAAGGCAAATGACAGTCGCAACCCCGACCCAGATCTTTCGGTTTTACTCACTGAAAAGTCGTTCTGGTGTCCTTCCAGAATATGCAACCTACAATAAGATCGAGGTGACCGCCGGAGAAGACCCTTCGCAGCTGTGTAGGAAGGTGGCGCTGCGTGAGACATCATTCAGGCTGGAGTGGGCGCAGTGCTCCTCCCAGCAGAGGGTTGTCTGCTTCTCCGACGACACGACGGCGGCGGAGACGAGACCAGCTGGTTACCGGCCGATGCTGACGGTCTTTAGCGACAACGCCGCACAGCACAAGACGGCCCAGCAGGCTCCGAGACTTCAGCCTGTCGAGAGCACCGACGACGGCGATGACATTCGACACGGTGCTGCAGGTGTCCGACCCGGCTCAGTTAGCCAATCTACGGCTGAAGGTGCGCTGCGGTGACGGGGACAGCGTCGTAAAGGACCACTTTGTCCTCAGCAGGTCCGAGTATGAGACGAGCTGGTGGCTTGGTAACTTCACCGTGGTGAGCCAGCTGATTCCTCAGGTCGAAGGTAACACCCTCGGCGTTGGGGCATTCTGGTGTCAGCGGTACGTTGAAGGAGTTGTGGATCCGGTGACCAGCAACAGACTCTTCGTCACGACGTCGAAGGACATGCGCCTGCTGGTGGGCAGTCGCGATCACGTCGTGAGTCTGCTCCAGTCACTGTTATCTGCTGAAGACAGCTATGACGACTACTATTATGAAGAGGGTTCTGGACGCGGAGGACAAGAAGTCTTTGAACGTGTGCCGGCCTTTGACCGGCCCTCATCAGACTTTGAAACAGAGTTGAGGCGGGTGGCTCGTCGCGCCGTTGGTGTCGGCGGCGCTGGTCTGCAATACTTGGGCTTGTATGACTCCTTTGACCCATCGATCATCCGCCGGTCAGAGACATCCAGTGAGACATCAAGGATTGTCCCGAACATGACGGTGACACTCATGGTGGATGCGCGGAATGTAAGTAGTCATATCTGCCATGAGCCTCATACATTATTCCCGTCTTGAACAGCATTCAAAGTTTCCTAGACCGCTCTCTCCAAGCGTTGTCCTTGCCGAATCACTTCGGGTCAGATGTAAGGGAGCTCAATAATGAAAGCCTTTATTGCTAATATTTGACTATGAAGTACCGTATGAAGTGTTGTAAGCATGTTAAGTTAATATTTGCCTTTGACTTATAAAGTAATGAGAAACTGAATTTTACAATTGCGTCCGCATGATCGGTCTGTTAGAGCAAGAGGCCGTGTGTTCGGGTTGGATTCGGTCGATGCATTACTTATTGTTGGGAACTTTTCTCAGGTTAACGCTTCGTCTCTTCCGATGGTGTTCCGGTGCCAGGCCGAAAATGTCCCGGGGCCTCCGACCACTGAGGGCGAAGCGACGCAGTACCTGTGGGAGACCGTGGCAACCTCAGGCTTCATCCCGTCAGAGCCAACGTGCCTGGCGGATGGCCGGTCGGCGCGGGTGGAGAGACGTTGCATCCCAAGTCTGGACGGAGGAGCAGCGTGGGGCGCCTTCTGCGCGGCTGGCGTGTGCCACGACGACCTTCCCCCCTGCGAGCCGCCGCCGGCCGTGTGCCCCGAGGGGTTTGTGCAGAACGCCGCAGTGATCGTCGAGAGAACGCTGGCTTCAGTCGTAGGCCCCGTTTGCATGCTCCGTCTGACCGTCACCCACACGGATCGCGCAGCTGCTTGTCGATCCCGACATCCGAAGGCGTTCGGGATGGACCCGCCTCAGCTGCTCCGGGAGCGGCCTGATCAACTGCATGCGGTCATCGGTGACCGACCAGTTTGGCTGTCAGCGCGCAGGCTATGGCAACAAGGACCGCTCTGGCCGGTGCACTCTCTTTTAGCAGGCTCAGTTGACGACAGCAGGGTAAGCCTGGACTTGGATGGGAATCTCGACTGTGTCATTCTAACGCCGAGCCTAGTTATACGCAGTGTCCGCTGCGATGAGCTGCACGTCGTGCTCTGCGTGGTGAGACCGGCGCTGTATCGCTCCTCTGACGCGGCCAACGGCCTGTGGTCCCGCAACACCTCTCTCGGTGAGCGCGTGTCGGGCGCCTTGCTGGCACCGGCCTTAGACCGCATCATATCCATCGCTGTTTCCGACTCTCCTCCTGTCCTCTGGGCATCAGCGGCCGACATCTGCGCGCAGAGAAACTTTTCCCTTGCCAGTGTAACGTCGCAAGTGTATCGAGACACAGTGGAGCTCTTGAGTAGGTCTCTGTACGGATCAAGACGGCTGAAAATGGCGGTGAACCTGCTACGACGTGACGGCGAGCTACGATGGGCTGACGGCACGCCGCTGACGTACCCCGCCCTGTCACCATCGCTCTCCATGCTTCGGCACCATGACCGCGCAGTCATGGACTCTCGCAAAGGCCAGTACAGCCTTGTCAGCGTTGAAGAGTTTGCTGCAGATGGTGCTGTTTGTGAGAGCGTAGTCCGTTTTGACACGCCGATGCTACATCTCTTTTATGGAGAGTTCAACAATGCTGTAGAAGGCTCAGCAATTTTCCTCAACGTCACGAATGCTGACAGCCTTTTAACTTTCCCCGATCAGGTCCAGGGCAGCAGGAAACAGGCAAGAGCATTCTTCAATTGCTTTGTTTCTACCAGCCAGGGCTCCGATTTCGGATATCGTGTAACTGAGATGCGGGTAGTGACCAGCGAAGATCCGTCCAGAACATTCATAAGGATCCAGCCCCTAGTCGATTTTGGCTACCTGACATGTGGTGCGTATGCCGTGGAGCCTCACGGTTACATATCGTCCAACGCTCTATTACTGACCCACAGAAGCCGCCAGCGGTTCTACGCTTTATATGATCGCGAATTTTTAGTGGGCTTGCGACCCTCGCCGGCGGAGAATAGGACCGGCTTGCAGTCACGGAGAGATTGTGACTCCACGTTTTGCCAGGGAATGTGCTCGTGTTTCAGCTGGCCGCTGAACATCACACCCGGTTTTGGCTTCACCTCAATGCGGCTGCGACCTCTGTGGATGACGCACTCAGCCGACAAAGGTGTCATCGAACATTACCTGGCTGTCTTGGACACCTCAGTACCTAGTCGCCGTCGTCGACAGACCTCATTTCGGCCTGTCGATGAACCTCTGGTGCCCGACGAGATTGAGTCTGGGAACGGTGAAAGGATAGAGGTTGATGACCCCATGTTGATCCGGAACTGGTTCGCGTCAGAGCTGGTGTCCCTGAAGCCGGCTCGCTGCTGTCCTCGGCAGCGCACCGAGCAGCCCGTACGGCTGACCTGGCCGCGGACCTGCACCGGCGACGCAGCAGCCACCTCGCTCGAGCTGTGCTTGGATGGCGGCGGCCGACCGGCGATTCGTCGCTGCGTGGGCGGCCCGATAACGGGCGTCGAGTGGGGCCCTGTGGAGCTGGGCGGATCCGCGTGCGCCGTCGTCTCCAACACCTCGGTCAGCCTGCACAAGCTGGCGCACACGCCAGTAACGGCCAGCAATGTGGTGCATACGGCCGGCGAGCTGGAGAGACTGACGAGCTCGCCAGCACTGCTGGTCGCACAGGACATCGCCTCAGTGGCGACAACTCTTAACAACGTGCGGCGGGTGTTGGAACGACGGCCGCCGAGCACGGCCGCCGCCGCGCTGAACCTGCAGAGAAGCGCCGTCATGGCTGTCGACCAAATCATGGACGCGGACTCCGCGGTGCTGGAGGCGGCCACCTCGTCACTGAACGCGGGACCACGGAGCGTGCGTGCGCTAGAGCGCATTCTCGTCACATCATCCAGGGTGAATGCCCCCGTTGTGACGGGCAAGAACGTGGCGGCGCGGACTGGTGCCTTTAGAGGCGTCACCTCGTTGTCGCCGCACATCAACGTCTCAACCGTGCGACCAGTGACGGATGCGGACCCCCTGTCCGCGATCTTCGGCAAGGAGGCGGCACTGGTGCTGGTGGACAACAGGCCACCGGCCGACGCCGTCTTCCTCACGTTCCGTGACGGGCGCCTGCTGCAGTCGCCCGGCCAGCACGTCACCAGTCAGGTGGTCAGTGCGCTGATTCCCAGCGCATCTGCCGAGGAGGGTCCTCGCAGGACGGTGCTAGCCGCGTTCCGCAGTCGCCCGGGAGCTTCGGCGCCCACTCCAACCTGTGCCTTCTGGGACTTCCACTCGTCTGAATGGTCTACGCGCGGCTGCTGGCTGAAGGAGGTACGTAACGGCAGTGACGTCTGCACGTGCAACCACCTGACCAACTTCGCGCGCGTCTTCAACTACGAGCCCGACATCTACCTGAGCGAAGCGCACCACCGCCTGCTGGACGTCATCACCTATGTCGGCTGCGCGCTCTCGCTTCTCGGTCTGGTACTCACCATGCTCACGTTTGTCCTGTTCAAGAAGTGGCGTCGCCTGCGCGGCAATCAGATCGTGATGCACCTGAGCGTGGCGCTGACCGGCGTGTACCTCAGCTTTCTGGGCGGGCTGGCCGCCCCCGGATACCACGTCGCCTGCAGCTGTCTGTCAGCGCTGCTGCACTACTTCCTCTTGGCGGCCTTCGGCTGGATGGCCGTCGAGGCTGTGTTCCAGTACTTGCGTTTCGTGCGCGTGCTTGGCACCTACATCCCTGGTTTCATGCGCAAGGCGAGCCTGTTTGCCTGGGGCGGTGCCCTGGTGCCGGTGATTTGCGTGCTTGCCGTGCGCCACGAAAGCTACGACGGCCACGCGGACATCTGCTGGATGGACTACGACAGTTTCTACTACGCATTCGCTACACCTGTGCTGGCGGTAATGGTGTTTAACACGGCTGTGTTCGGCATGGTGGTGCACGCGCTGAGCTGCGGCCGCCAGAAGGGTCTGCGAACCAACCAGTCGGAGCGGCGGCAGGCACTCACCCGTCTGCGGGTGGCCTTCGTCATCTTCGTCCTGCTCGGCCTGCCCTGGGTGTTCGGATTTTTGGCGATCAGGGAGGCTCGATTCGTCTTTGCGATCCTCTTCTGTGTCTGCAACATGTTACAAGGTGAGACATTGGACAGCCAAGGCATTTCCTTCCATGCGATGGCTGGAATATATACCGGTCGGGGAGTACATTGGACACACTTTTGATAGATTTGTTGTCTGGAGTTTTAGTGTTAATGGGTCAAATCACCGCTCAGCGCAAACCTTTTTAATTTTTTTTCTGGCATCCGACGCAGACATTTCGTCATCGCATGTTTTGTGGATCGTTTTTTCCCCACGTCCAGCATTTTAAAGGCCCAAACGGTGTTGGGATATCTTGACATCACTGAACAGCGTGCTAACAGCTGCCCAGTCCATTATCCAGTGCCTAACTTTGATGCGCCCGGCAGGGTTCGCCATATTCCTGCTGATGGTGGCCGGAGAACGAAGCGGACGAGAGCTGTGGCGCACGCTGCTGGCGGGCAAGTGTTGCGCTGGCGAGGACGAAACATCCATCTCCACGGGAGCCCCGACTGCCACTACATCTACCTCCAGCGGTCCACCAAAACCCACGCATGTTCAGCAGGAAAGCCGTCTGTGAGGCATGCCAACCACAACGCCTCCGACGTGCTAAGGGGGTCGGGCCTGCAAAAAATATTATATTTTTTAGTATATATGTTTAAAAAGCAGACTGCCTTTCGCAGCCATTCAACATCTTTGGTGATTCCGACAGTATTCTCTTTACAGCGTAATAATTCTGCAAAGTTAGTGTGGATTTAGTGCGTGCGCTGTTGAGGTGTGAACGTGAAAGCGATGCTTCCAGTATGGCTTCCATGGCTTTACGGCCCAAGATGACCCATTTCCAAGACGATTGCTTTTTAGTCGTTTGGGTGTCTTTGGGTTGAAACATTTACTCCCATCATCCCGCTGGCGTTAGGCTATGCTTGCTTTGTGGGAACGTGCGATCGATATGCGGGACATGTTTTGCGAGTGTCGGTGCGGCTTGCGAACAGTCTATTTGTACTCACTGTGGTCAGTCCTTTTATTAGTTAACATCCGTGCGCATTGTTATCCCATGATATTCTGTCATACAATACATGTAGACTCGTGCTATTGGCTGCTTTAAATAATGTTCGTTAACTACGCCGTAGTAAGATAGCTGCTTTTTGCTCAGATCTTTGACACACACTGAATCATCTGCTCCTTTATGTTATGTTCCCTTTTTCCGTTTCCAAGCTTGACAGGCAACTAACTTCCCATCGAGTTCTGGTTCCGTCTTTTCGAACGGTACGTCCAAGGCACTAAAATGAATATAGCGTCTTGGACCCAGGCAGGGATGTTCACATACATTAAAAGAAGTTAACACGCGCTCGGGCGGTGGTCAAATTGCCCCCCCCCCCCCCGAATGTTTTCCGGAGTGATTTCCGAACAGCGCGGCGTAGTCACGCTAAATTTTGCATGACTGTAGACAATTTAAATAGCAAATTGTCTGGTGTCAAAAATTTAGATGTGCCTTGCAAGGTCGCTGACCTATGGTAGGCCAAAGTCAGGCCATGGTTTCAGCGAAGGCACTTTCTAGGGAATCGTTCAAACTGATCCAACAACGGGGTGTTAGACCTAGCCATGCATCTCTGAGATGCTTTCTTAGGCAACGCAACAATTAAATGAACAAAGTACATTGATCTAAGGTCAGGTATAAAGATCAGACCAAAAGGTCAAAACCAACATGTTTTATTACTTACTTGCTGTATGGGTAGTTCCTGGTGCTCATTTCGAATTGATTGATAACAGGAGCCACGTTATACAACTTTCATAGACTTCTTAAAGGTCAGAATATGTCACTGACCCATACTGACCAAGGTCAACATTTTTTTAGGAGCATACTGTCTAGCATAGCCTTTGTCATTTATCGAAATACAAAACTCAACAGTCTTGTGTGTTTTGGTCGCCATGACCTTCAAAAGGTCAAAAAGGTCACTGACTTAAGATGAGCATATGACCTTTTGCTAAGAGTAGTGATCTAGGTTCTAGGGGCTCTTTGGAGACGAACCTGAAATTTGACCTTGCTTGGTCTTATTTGACCCGAGTGTCATAGACTAGGAATCTCCAACTTTGACCTAAATGAGTTCACGTACAGGTTAATACACGTTGCGAATTTGGTGTCACCAGCTCCCTTAGTTCCTGACATCTCAGGAGGTCAAATTGCCCCACACCCACCCGTGCGATGAGCATCCTACCGGCCACCCGGGCGAGTGTTAGTGAAGGTGATAGGCAGCAGCCAACCGGCCATTACGTGCCAGGCCTCGGCAGCAGTTGGGATGCATATTACATTTATACATACGTAGGTATTACCAAGATACCACGCATTACTATGTAGTCTTGCGTGATATGGTCGTGAACTGATCGCTGATATGCATAATGAATAGCAATGGTATCACCTTTCAGCTCTTGGCAGATGTTTGTGCAATATGATCTCTTGGTAAATGCATGTACGATCTTAAATGCATCACTGCTCCGTTATTCCCAACGAAATGAAGTGCTACAGGAGGTACCAAATGAGATGAGATAATTCTTAGTTGCCCAACTTGGTTTCAGCTTCATGCATTGGAGTGCGGTCAATTAACATGAGCTTATTGCGTCGTATATTAACTTGGGTAATGTGTGAGGGCATCTATGTAAGTGGCGCAGGTAGCATTCGCGCTCCAGTGAAGATGGCACCAGTGTAAGTTTTGCTTGTCACTTATTTTGTTTAGGTATCTCGCAAATCCCTCCGCGGATTGTTACCTCTCGCCCTGATTCGCCGTTTTTCATAACACGGACTGATAGGGGGTTGGGTCGATGCGTCCCTCTGCCTTTTCAATGTTAAGAAAGATATGGATTTGCGAAAAACATCAGTGGATTGAAGAGAGTTTGACTCTGTTGCGTTGTTAATTGAGCCAAGTATGCCAGTTCAGAGGCCAGGGGTTCCGAAAATTAAACTTTTCAGTTTCACACGCTCATATATACGAGAAAATGTTTTGAAGCGACACAAAATCTAAACCAGCGTGTTTCTTGTTCAATTCGAAGCACATTGGTACGCAGTTTTTGCGCTTTCGTCACATCTTTGTGATACATGGCTCCGTCAATGCAACAATGTCGACCTGCAGCGCGCTCTCCGCGGCATCGCTGGTTGCCGCCCGCCGCCTGCGTGGATCGGGGATCGCCATGCAGAGTTTCTCAAAACCGCCGCTGCTCCAACACCACCGATGCTCTAGGCATGTTTTTGGTGCCAAAACACGCGCAAAGGATTTCCCCAAAGACCACAGAAAATTTGGGCACGGTTGCACGACATTTCAGAAAGGTATTCTTATTCTCATAGGTCTCCTTAGCGGGTGGATCGATCCTTCTTAAATTACTGGTCGAGGGTCAACGGGGATGCTCCATATTTGTATAAGGTTTTTAACTGAAATAGCCATCTTGAACAGCATTCGGTGCGGTTTAAAGTCCCGGTCTTTCTCAAGAGCAAAAGCCATCTAATTTTTAGCTACCTGTCTGCGAAGATGTACAGACCATTTCGTGCAGTTTATTTAAAGAACATTCAGTCATGCATGGCGCCATAGAAGCGTCGTTCAGACCCTGCCACCCCATTAACCATGCAGCCTCCAAGGCCGAAAAGAACATCATCGTCGAGTTGTTCACATCTGGCGTTCGTAAGCACGACTTCCAGATATAACAGGATGTGAACTGGCTTTCAAGCAATGTTGTGTGGGCTGTGCAAGATTCAAATACGACCCCCGCGTTGTACCACAAATACGAGGTGTTGGACACGGCTGCTAGTTATTACGAGAATAAGACTTGTAATCGAATAACTCAAGAATAGGGCCACAACTGAGAGAGTGAATGCAAGTAAATAACTTAAAGTCGTGGATAGATATGCAAGAACAACACAAGAAAGGCCCAAGGCACAGGCGCATAATGGCATTTGGCTCAAGAAATACCTCCTGCACCGCCACTTCTCGGGAGATTGAAGTCATACAAGTGAGTGCTAAGGTTGGAATTTCGCACTTGTTTGGCAGCACCTCATGTCAAACAAACGCTCCATCACGCAATCAGACAATGCCATGTTTGGAATATATCCACTAAGCTGATCAATCTGATTGTCTAGAGCAGTCTGTTTTATCTAAAAGTATAACAATAGTTATAAATGAGCCTATTTAATGAAATCTGGTGCTTGCTTTAATATATTCAAATGTGGCACATTCCCATTAAGGGAATGGGAATTTTACTAGGTCTTTCCACAGCTTTCGTGAAAGATCGAATGCATATCCTGTCAAGGCATTGAACTAATACCTCGTTATCAAATTTCTTTGGATCAAATTGTAAAATTTCACAACTACGGTGCTAAATAATGCCTTTCGGCGAAGCTTTTAACGTAGTTCCGTAATAAATTCCTGTGATTCCTACAGCTGAATACATGGATATTGGTATCATTGATGTCCTTAAAAATTGGAGTCATTAATTGCGCACCATGTCACAGCATCTGTGTCGCCTGGGGTTTAACCCTCGCTTGGGAAAGGTTTTATCTCGTACTCCAAGTGACATTTCTGGTCTCACAGAAAATGACAGGTGCTCCATCGTAAATTCTGCTGTTGTCTTCCAAGATAGCCGTGACAGTCGCAGTCCTCCGTAATATGCTCAATGCTGACAGTGAATATTGTCTTTTTTCTCAGCTAATAATGAAAGGGCCACGGCTAAAACCCCTCTCGAAATGCGTTTGCGACAAGAGGTCGACACATAGAGCCCCGGAAATGGCACACTGGCCTCTGAACGACTATGAAGAGTCAGTACCAGTGTAAAAGGCCACTGAGCAATTGGGAGTGCCCCGACAGGATCCCGTAGGTGGCCGCCGGCAGCAGCGTGAGGTCCTGCTGAGCACAAAGGAAGACGTTAGGACCGATGTAGAGAGCCCCGGAGTGATCGAAAGTGCTCCAACCGATCGGCATATAGGACCCTATCAGCGGCACGGATCCTCAGAGAAAATGAGAAAGACATGATAAGCATGGGTAGCTTCTGAACGAACGACGGTGGCGCGACGGGTCAACCCAGATAGCCTCAGCCAACACCTTAGGGTAGAAACACTCTTAAATAACCAGAGAGCAGCTTGGTGGCATCCTGAGTGATCTGAAGTGTCCCGACAGGTAAACATATAGGGCAAAGGCGCGAGACCGTCCAGGCAAATACTACTCGAGACCGCTTTGGCTGGCCAGGAGAGGTCGAAAAGTCCAGGCAGGTAAACACACAAGGCGTCCGTCAAGAGCGTAGAACTGTCCACAAATAAGAGCAAAGTATGTGAGCCCTACACTACCGTAAAAGGCCGTTGAGCAAATCGTGTCTTGGTAAGTTGACCGTTAGGTCTCCTAGAGACAACGCATGGCCCTCTGATTAAATCAGGGGAGCCCAAGACCAATGTAAAGGACCCTGAGTGACAGAGACTGTCGCGGGTTAACATGTAGTCCTAACAGCGTGGAGACTTACAAGCAAATGGAAACAACTGTGGAAGGCCCTTGAGCGACCAAGAGCGCCCGACACTGTAACATATAGGGGCTCCGGCAACAGGGTTGGGCCCTCCCCCTAGTCCTCCTAGCTATTCTTCAAATGAAAGAAAGCCAGGACTACTTTGAAAGGCCTTTGAGCGATCGAGAGGACTCCGGCAAATGAGAATATAGGGCCTTGGGCAACAATCTAAGACCCCTGAAGAACGTGAGGGTTCCCGAAACTTATTCAACCCTTTTCCACTCAATCCACCAAGGCTGAAGGGACCCTTTGTCTCCTCTTGAAGTCACTGTGGTCGCCCAGTGCCCCAAAGACATCCAAGTTTTCGCTTTGCCTTAAAAGCCTGTATTTGTTTGGCTGGTTATGGAACGGCTCATGGGCTTCTCCGGAATTCAAGGGGGAGACAACTAACTATGGCGGCATAACACCCTATGACTTCACCAATGGCTTGTTCCTTGGCCATTTACACAAATTTATGCCCCTGCCCAGTACTATGTGAATGATGATCCCCGCTTATACCGAGATCATTCAAAACATCGCTTGCGTTTCCTATCATCTAGTAAACATGTCATGGCCAGTTGCCATCATGCCATGTAATGAATGTTATACACGACATGCGCAGGGTTGTTCTGACATAACGCCGACACAATTATCTTGATTTTGAATGTGTCCTTCGATAAGACCGGAAGCCAGCAGCCTGACAAGGAAACTAAGAACTATCATTCCACATCATATGACGCTGCTTTCTTTTCTTAAATGCATCGTTTTTCTCACTTCGTCTCTTTTGTTGCCTCTGTCCTTATGCCCATTTCAAATTCACGTGACATCGCACTCGAGAGCGTGCCAGTAATCT